AAGAGGAGGAGAAGGGAAGAGGAGAGAGAGAGAGAGAGAGAGAGGCACATGCGTCGCATTTACTTTACTGCGACCTTTAGGCCTACTTATCCTCCGTACACCCCCCACGCTTTTAAAGATGGCCGCTGAGGTGTTTGGATTTGGAGGACGGCAGGAAATCGCATAGAACCAATTCTTTCATTCCATTTGTAACGACTGTACGTTGATGAATGACTATAATATTCAATCTTAAATCGAGAGAGCAAATGTGCCCCTATAGGTATACATAAACATCCAAAAAGAAAAGATTAGTATAAATATTAGTTTAATTTAAACCTTAAAAAAAATAGATATTCTTACAATTTTTATCATCCTAATGGAGTTTTGGTGTCCTCCTTATCCATATGTGGGCCACGTCCGGTCACTATCTTTGTTGGAATAGTACTCTATTTGACATATTTTGGTACCAATATTGAGATCAATAAAAAGATAGAGATGAATGTTAGAATCTTTGGGAACACATGTGTAATTAAACATGTTAAGCTATTATTTTAATTAATCAAAATTAAAATGATATAATTAAATAAAATTATTTGGTTAAGGGATATAATTCTCATGAAAATTAATTATCATCAGTAATATTTCTAATTTGATGACGAGATAAGTTAAAAATATTAAACATCCTGGGGTATAATTATAGATACAAATATAAATAAGATTATGATCTCCGGTTATACTATCAATTCAGTTTTCTTTTCACCCATAAAAAAAAAAAGAAAGGTTTTCAATAATAATCAACAATTGGAAGGTCAATATACCCATTAATTTAAAAAAATACTTTGATAGATTTATTAGGTACGCTTTCGTGTTAATGTGTTTCGTAATTGTTGTAGGATTTTATGTATATTATTATAGATTTAATAAATTTTATAAAAAAATATTTTAAAATTTGATTTTAAATCTATAAAACATGTTTGATCCATATTTATTGTGTTAAATTATCAACGGTAAAAATTTAGCGCCGGTGGATAATACATATTGAGAGTTTTCGATGAGATTCATCGGACTTCTGAATTAAATAGTAGAAAAAAAGGAATGATTATATCATTGATTGTACCCATGCCTACCTTTTATATTGATCGTTCATAACCATAAACGATTAACGATTAGTGAAAACTATTTGGACGTTGACATATTTGATAGTTTGATTTAATTTCATTTTTCGTTGACATGAATGTCATATGTGTCGAGTCATTAAAGATGAATATGCTCGATATAAATAAGTCAACATGATTATTATATCATGCATGGGTCGAATAATTAATATTAGGACCTTTTGCTCCCTACTTTCCAATGATTTCAATGGAGCTCATGTTATCTATTTTCCTGTTGATTGGACATCGCTTTTATAGGGTCTCCATATACTGCCAGTTGAGCAATCTAGATTGCTGTTTACCAACAGACAGCACTTTGTTGTTCTCTGTTGCATTGTCTCCATTACAAGTGGCTGAACTTTGATTTGTATGATTGCATTTTACTGCTAATTTAATGAAGTTATACTGGTGAATTAATTTCCAACAACTCTGATTCCCGATTATACCATCGGAGATCGATAGAGTTCGAAATGGAGCCAACAATTTGCATGCTTGCAAAGATTATAAAGCTTATTTTCCTTTTTAATCCTTCACATAATTTGCTCAAATGATAATATAATGATAATGATATGATCGACACTTCACTATCATTTAGATAATATTGAACAATCGATATCTCAATGTCACATTACCGACACTTAAGACACCACATGATCAACACCTCAATATATACGTGGTTAATACATCAATGTCATGTGACCAACACTTTGGTATCATGTGGTTAACGTCTTTTCATCATATGATTGACATCTTAATAAGTAGCTAAGTAAGCTAGATGTTATCATGTCCTATGTTCAATGCACTATGATCATAGTCAATTTTGGAAGAGATACATCATCTTCTTTATAATCGATGTTGCAGAAGTAATAGTATTCAAAATCGATTATAAAAGAACTCATTATATTTCAAAACATAGACATTTTCACTTTGTAAAATATAGGTCGAGTCATTAGAACCCTTATTTATATATCAAATAGACATTATCGGAAGTGCCCCAATATAATTTTGTAAGTACTAGACTCGATTAGATTCGAACATCATCGATGGTGTCAATTTTAGGACCGAAACAAGAGATATATCATGGTCGGCTCCAAATTAACCTTCACAGTCAAAAACTAACTTAACACAGAGACCACTGATGACAGTCCATGAATACTTAAAAGCAAACGAATTGATTGCAACTCAGATCTACTGAGTTTTTTCATTGAAGGAGATTTAGCTATTTGGTTTCTTCCATCTTCATGCCTGGTTGTTCCTCGAATTCAGTATGTTCTAGCTTTGTAATAGTCTTACTCGACAATAGCCTATGCAAGAGGAAATTTATGAGATATGAAGGTTTAATGATCCAACACAAAGGGAAGAAAGTATATTTCAAGCAAGGGTTTGCTAAATCGGCTAGTTCGATAGGATTAGATTGGTATGTACAAATCCAACTATCCATCATATTGTTCCTTCTTATATCTTTCCATTTTGTTCTTCCTCTTTCTCTTACTTGACTTCTTTTTATTTTCTTTCTTTCTTTCTTGTTTGGTTTTGATAATTGAAACTATATTTATTCTTGATAGAAAAATAATAATATGATTGATACGTTATCAATCACATGACCAACACATTAACATTGTATCCAAAATATTTTAATCATATACGATTAACATGATATTATCGTTCAAACATTGTCAGTCATATAATAATTATTGTATATCTTAGGAATCCGATATAGCACGACTCTCCTTAAGATATGCACATAATTGTTCTCAACATCAATGTGTCGTCTCAAGGGAGAAGAATCCAAAGCTTTTTGTGCATTTGGCTCTAATAACTTTGGCATTAAGCCAACACCTCATTCCCTAAACTAAGATAGGATTCGAAGGGATTTTATCGAGTATACCCTAATTTTATAAGGCTCAATGCCTCGAGAGATCGATATTTCCTAAAACTGTTTAGAGATAAATACATAATAAAATCTTGATTGATTCTGAATCAACATTTGAGCAAATAATCAAATTTTGACTCAAAACAATCCTCAATGAGAATTTCACTTCAAGTACCTGACACATCCACCTAAAATATGCTTGAACGCACAAAACATGTTCGTGGTTGCTCGGACTATTTCAATGGGTGATAGAAAGACCAGCAGCAAACAAGTCTCACGGCAACTAGCACAAAAATTATGACTCTATGAGAGGCAAATCACTTCAAATACTCCTACGAACATAGGATTAATATTAAAAGAACTATTTCCTTGACTGAAATCCTAAACACGTAGTGTAAGATGAATGTCCATGTCCACGAAGAAACAACATGCACAGTAGGATGCATGCTCCTGACATGACTGTATCGACAGGAAGAACTATAGATGGGCAAAACACCCAAATATAATAGAAAAAGGAAGGAGATAGATTAGATTTAAAATTTGGTTTAAACATGGGAACATATAACTTGAATAAATTATCAACATTTGAAGTATGTTATCACTATAAAAAGTGTTGTGTTCACCAACATGTTCAGAATAATAGCCAAGAAAATCTATTTAAGTTTCTTGCTGAAGTCCGATAGGTCTATTAGCTGAATCCTCGGAATGCTTTCTGCTTCTGCCCTCTCTTTCTCAGTATTATAACCCCATCTACCTGCTCAAAGTAAAATGTACTGTTAGACCAAACACCACAAAAAAAGTCTAACCATCATATAGTTGACTAGGGGAAGAAAGTCACCCAGGTATAAATTCCATCCGGCTAATGCGGGCTCTTTGATAACATTCTTTAAAGTTGCAAGACGGTCTTCCACAAAGCTGGCCAGAGACAGGAAATGTGATGAAGATTTTGGTTTACGGATGTCATGATTACCTTGGGTCAAAACAAACTACAAGAAATCCTAACAATGCAATTAACAACTAGGATTTACGTTCTTATTTTCCTGCTAATAATTGAAAAGATTTCTCCAGTAGCATATTAACTGACAGATGTATTATTCCACAAATTACATATCTCCCATAATAGAAATAGAACTTACTGAAGAGAGAGACCCTGATGTTCTGGCATTTCTTGGAGCTGCTTTAGGACTTTTACTTTTGGCCTGGAATCAGAAAGTAGACCACATATCACCTGCTATGCATATATATATATATATATATATATATATATATATAGATGGTGAGAAATTACAAGAGCAGCTCAATATACATACCCAGTCCCCAAACCGTAAATTCGTTCAGCAGGTATAGTTACTCCAGCGAGTTCTCGCAATAATGCATCAGCAAATCTGGCCTAAAATTAACAGATAGCAAAATGTTGCTGTAACTAAATATTTGCAGAAAATAATATCAAACTTAAGTATGAAAGCATTTGTCAATCTGTAACTAAATGAATATCAAATTAATGGAAGGCTGATCAACGCAGAAGCTGCATCTGGACATCATAGAATATGTTATTGTCCTATGCAAATGGAACAGGAACTGTATGACAAAATTACTGCAAATGAGAGCTGAAGGATGTTACAATGTCCAAGTTCCCAATGTTTCCATGCATCAGGATATTCAGAAATTTTGAAGGCAGAAAAATCTTTTTTTCAGAAGGAATTACTGGTACCTGCTTTGTGGTGACAATATAGAGTTGAGAGCTTGCAAATCTCAGAGCATCTGCGACACCTGGGTAAAATCTTCAGGGTCATCTCCTGGTTAGTATACATTTCCCAGATTCTCTTTGCGACTAAAATAAATTGCTCGCTTAGCAGTTCTATATGATCTATTAACATGATTAAGTAGCTAGATTCTATAACAAACAGCTTCATTTTAGCACTTGATATTTTCCATATTTGTACCACATTAGGTGCAAACACCATTTAGTTATTCGAGCAAACATTTGCACCAATTCCAACTTTAACAGAGTTTATGAATAGTTCGGTGCCAGCAAATAAACTTAGGAAAAACATAAAAATGACACCCGTACAGTATCATATTTAACAGAAGGTCCATAATTAAAATGTGAAACTGGCTTAGATACAATAAAAACATGGTTTAGACTATCATACATAGATGCTTAATTAAATCTGATGGTATTAATGATTATCTGTTAATGCTCTCATTTGCTTATCAAAGAAAAGTAAATGCAGAATCCATGAGAGTTGGACCCTAGTGTGCTTTGGAAAGATATCAATGCGACAATGCTCAAGTACCACATGGCAACTCAAGTGGCAAACAATCGTCAAAGATGTTTCTAAACCACCGTAGAATTTGTAGCGGGTAAAATGCAACAAGTGCACAAAAAATGAAGCAAAATTGATCACAAAATCTCATCAGAAATTTCAATAATAGGTGGCAGCAGACGTTTCATCTACTGTAATACCAAGCTATTTTCTACAATTAGCATTTATTAATAGAATATGATAATTCCAAGTCGCTAGATACTGGACTTGAACATCCTGTGGAACTTAACATTTTCAAGCAAGAGAGAGAATCAATCGAAAGCAAAATAATTAAAAAGAATTTTTGTGCAAATTGAAGCTTTACTTCATGGAAAAAAAATTACTCAAAAATTCTAAACAAAGAATTTTACTTCATGGAAAAGATGTCAAACATACACCAAGAAGGAGACATAAGTGCAGGAGCAAAAGCCAGAGTCATGAAACAAGTGAGATAATTGTTGTTCTACAAGAAATCTTGACTAGATCCCATGAGATTCAACCTTCATTTTCACTACAAAGACATAATTCTTAGATTTGCATGAACTTGGAAGTAGAAACCCATAAACACTAAACTGCCTGTAACACTGTTATGTTCAATGCAAAAGTCCTGGGATGTAAAATCAATTTTAGCATGTAGAGGAAAGAAATATACAGGACATATCATACCTGTTGGCACCAATCCAACCTGAAAGATCATTATCTATCCATTCATCCCTTATTCTTCCAAAAAGATCAATTAAAGCATCTCGTTCTTCATCCCACTCCTTCATAATTATAGGTTTCATCTGCGACCAGTTCTCCAATATTGCCTCAACAGTAAGCCCATCTGCAACCTTCCACATTAAATGAGAACATAAATCAGCATAATACTGCAATTACTATCGTAATTGCTATAGTGAACATTGATCACAATTCAAAAATTCCAATCCATCTTCAAATAGAGGCATTACCGATGATTTTCGCACTGAGGGCACCTGAAGCTCCACTAACAGCCTAACAAGCAATAGATTCTCATAACCTGTTTCAACCACTGGACGCAACTGCCACAATGAAATAGAAAAATAGCTCAGATAATTTGGTTTGACACATTCATATTGAACACCCACTTTTCTCATTCCACAAAACATCCTTCCATTTAGTCATTAGTAAACACAACTTTACCCAAATAATATTGCCAATTGTAACAAGCAACCTCACAATGATCCTCTAAGGAACATCTTTATCTCCTAACACACACCAGCATATAGATATAGTAACAGACGTAATTAAACTACAAGAGCAGCTAATATTAGATCAATTATGTAATGACAAGCATGAAAGTTGAAAGATGATTCAGACTCTTAACCTTGGATGATACGCATCAAGCAAATCCCATTCATAGTGGTACGTATGAGCAAACAAATCTAGATAAATTTCAGCATCGAAGGAGGAGAAGAAGAAGACAGGGGAAGGTCATAATGGAGGACAGGAAACTCACGATGTGCATTTGGTCGATGATCCATGTTTCCATGGCGGAGTCCACCTGTCCGAAGAGCCACGGCCATCTGATCTTAGCAGCCTACACCGTACCACAAAGATCAGAAGAGAAAGGAGTAAGAAGCGATCGGAGTAGGGTTCGTGAAAAAGTGAGAAGCAATCGAGTTGGATGCCTTGAGGGCAGAGAGGGAACTCTCGCCACAGCTGTCGCAGAGGACGCCGTCGAAGTCCAGAGCGTAGAGATCGCCTCCCATCGATCGATCTGTCGGCCGCGCCGCCGAACGACGGAGGAGAAGGATGAGGAAGCGAAGTCGAGGATTGGGTGGTTCACCGGTTGGTTGGGGAGAGGGCTCCTTTTATCGGTTTCTTCCACAGCTTTGCGTCGCCCGGTTGTGCTCCATCCAATTGGATAACGCCACGTTTGATGCACGTACGATTGGAGGTGAGTTCCGGCCTTGTCCGGTTCGGACTAAGCGCCAACATTCGAAAAGAAAGATTGGATCGCGTCAACTGGATTGGGTCGAGCCAAATTGACCCGTCTCTACGGTTGAGCTGAAAAGAGTCGACGGCTGAGCCGTCCGATCCTCATGATTCTTTTTTTGAATGCACCTATTGACACGTGGACGTTGATAACCGTCGATCTGATCTTTTGGTTTCTGGAGGCGGTGTTGTGTTTCGTCTCACCGGCCACGTCCGGTTCTTTAAGAGAGACCACCGGCTAAACCTGTCCCAGATCTCGTCGGATTGGATTCGCCTCAATCCTTTTTCTCGCCTCCGGCTCGTCCTCCGACACCGGTGTCTTCTCGTCTTCCCCTTCACGAAGGTCTTCCAGGTAAAACATGATAACTTTTCAGGTTATGTTTGAGATCTCTGCCAATCGTATCGTACTTTGCTCCGCTACGGGCCGCCAATTTATTGTTGTGTGGATCTATCTCTTTCATGTTTGGCTTTGATGGGATGGTTCAGATAAATTGATTCACAATCGGTTTCTATCCACGAGGTATTACGTAGTATCAGTTTCTGTTTCTCTTTGTAGTTTTATGGTGGTAAATTGCTGTTGGTTGGAGGACGAATTAATCTTTCTATGGGACTTTATATGTTTCACAGAGAACTGGATCTTATGGCATATTTCTTCTTCTTTCCATGCTGAATCATGATCAATCAGTTTGATTTTAAGAAACCGGATTGAATCCCTAAGAGCAAGAGAGTAACTGTACTGAGAATGGAGGAGAAACTGTAGCAATTGAGAACTTGGTTTGATTTATATCTTATTAGAAAATCTCGCCTTTTGGATTGTCCGCACTAAAAAAATTTAATCTTTTCGAATTTTAGTGAATATTAGGTTTTCAATATGGCGGACGATGGAAAAGAGGAAAAGGTTTCTTCTCGGGGAGCTGACTGGGAAGTTGTGTCCCTCACGGCATCCGCGTATGCTGCAGAGCCTGGTCTGCAGGAATTTGACCCTACCTCTGAGAGCAAAGAGAAGGAGAACATGACTGAACGTGAGTCTTCTGCAGCATTATTCATGTCCGGTCATTTTGTGTTTCCACCCAGTGAGCATGAGAATCTCCCGATAGAACCTGACACAAGCAAAATCCATGGTGAGCCAACAATGATTGGTGGTGATAATGGAATTGATGATTCTGATAGAGAAAAGTTGCAGACTGAATCTGATGATCTCCAGTATGGTATCGAGTTTTCTGAAGGTAATAGAATTTCCTTCCGTGATATGGGATTTGAAGAGGGCAAGGGATCCCATAGGCTAAACTTGGTTGGAGTTGAGCAGGATATATTTGCTGATCCTCGTTCTGTTGATGTTCACTCTGAAGCACATAAAAGCAGCACCAAATCTGAGGCTGAAGAACCTTCTGATGTGAATATGGAATCTCCTCATGATCATGCAAAACCAGGTGGAGATGAGATTGATGGATCCAACCTTCCTTGCCAAGCATGGTGGAAGACGCATGCAGTATCTCTGTATAAACAGGCAAAGGAGGCTGGTACTTTTTGGTCTGTTGTTGTAGCTGCTGCCGTCATGGGAATTATAATTGTGAGGCAAAGATGGCATCAAGACAAATGGAGATTTAGCATCAACGATGAGGTATGCTTGCTTCCGTTATGAAAAGAAAATTGCTATTATACTGAGCAAGCAAATGTTGAAAATTTTCTGTAGCTTTGCAGTACTGATGTACCAGTTCTCTCTCAATTACAGCTCATCTGTAACTCTGATGGTAGACTGCTCTTTGGTAATGAAGTTGTCATCTCCATTTAGATTCACTTAGTAGTTAATGCATACTCATAACTAGCAACAACAGTTAAGTGACAGCAGGTTTTAGCAGATACCATCCTGATTGACTTATTTGTAAAGGAAAATGTCAAATCTTAATGCTCGCTGCCCATTTTTGTTGAGACAACACTGGATCTATGGAGAGAAACTTGGTGTGACCTGGATATAGCTCCAGTTACTCAAATCTTAAAGCTACATCTTCTCAGTTTTGCAATATAGCTTTTCAATTTAATGATGCTTTTAGAGGTAGCATAGCTGATCCAGATGTTTTTCGTGGTATGGATGATCATACCATGCTACTTTAGTATATGTTGGTCACACTGCCCTGGAACTTGGTTTTTGTTTCATAAGCTAACTACTCTCTACTTCTGACAGAGGATGAGCAGGATGATGAGACCAATCGGCCGATTTAAGGATGTTATGGTTGGCGGCCACCAGCCTAACCGACTGATACATTGAGTCGGTGTGTCAGCCCGGCTTTTGAGCTGTTGATGGCGGCACGGATGAATAAAAATCATATGCATGTGAGATGTATCACCGCGAAGTTTGGCAACATGATTCGATGCCTGTATGTCTTGCAAACTTGCAAACTCAAAGTTCTAATGTGTTCTGGTTAATCTTCGTCTCTTTATTTATATCATACACTTCATGTTTAAAATATATGAGGTTCTAAATGATTGGTTCATGTGAATGAGAGCATTTTGATATTGATTTGCAACGTAATAGATTCAAGTGTGATATTTGCCCAAGTGAAAAAGAGAGTCTCAATGTACAATTTTTTTTTTTTTTACAAAATATAAGTGACGAAGGTAGGTTTTGAAAATCAAATTATGATGATTTGTCAAAGTTTTTACTACCTTTAAATATTTGGGAATGATTGGTGAATGTGATTTTAGCAATAAGGCTGTTTTATGAATTGAATTAGATGATTTTAAAGCCTTTGATGAACATATTATGAATTGTTTATTATTAATTTTTTACAAGGAATAAATAACATCAGTCAAAGTTTTTACCAACTAATTTAGCGAGTATCTTATATCAGATGAGATTTTAGATCTTTAATTTTTTGGTATTTATTATTGTTTTTTATCATACAAGATCTCTTGCACGAGTGTAGAAAGCTTTTGCGATATTACAGAGCTGAGAAATAGGGTTTAAACTCATTCAATTGTCTAAAGTTGCCCTTTGTTGACAAAGGACTTAAGATGATATATGCATCAAATGGCTTGATAAATTCGGATGCTATTGCATCAGACGTCCCACGAAACCACGTTGATAAATGTCAAGAACATAATCGTATTTGTTTATTGGCATGGTCTTGTTCTGTATAGATAGAATACATTCCTATAAAGACAATGAAGATTAGACTGTGTTGAGGCTATATTACTCATAAAGTGGTATGGAACAAGTCTGGAAGTGAACCGTTGAAAGGATGCATGATCTTTTCTGCCACCTAAGTAGAGTTAAAATAGACAAGGATAAATGTGACCTTTTGATTGGTCCGAGTTCTAGACCCGGTCCGGAGTAGGACAAATCAATTTGGTCCAATCATGATGATTAAACAGACTATCCACATGATTTTAGGAAAAGGAAGTATGCATCACATTGTAAAATGTTGATATTTATTTTTTAAAAAATATCAATAACATAATTTATATTATTTATTTTTTTGGTAAAATTTTTAAAAATATAATTGAAAATATTAGATATATTGGAGGAAACTTTATATATATATATATATATATATATATATATATATATATATATATATATATATATATAAGTCTTTACAATAGCATTGTTTAATTTATATATATAGAAAATAAAAAATATTAATCTAGAAAAATAAAAATAAAGATTTTTAAGAATTTATTAAATACATATATATAGAAAAATAAATATGTAAATGTAATGGCAGAACTTTGAATGGTAATATACGTAAATAGAATTCATAGCAAAGATTTCTCGGTTGCCATAAAAAACATAAATCAAGAAAAATTGCAAGGGAGAGTCGTAAGGAAGCCCTACCGTAGTGGCGTCGATCTGCCCTTCGCCGACGGCTCCACCGCCTCCTCCTCTCGGAGCCGGACCACCCGATCTCACCTCCTACGCGGCCGTGCGTTTTCTCTCTACGCCTTCCTGTCTCATCTAAGTCTCTTGCGCACCCCGCTGCCGTGATCCGCTCCCGAACCCTTCCTAAGCCTGGGGCCTCCCTTCGATCGCTTCGGCCGAAGCCTGTCTTGCGCTGTTGATGCTCCTTTCGCAGTCGCGAACGATGTCCACTGCCCTCTCGAAATCCTCGGGTAAGTCCGCCATGCCCGTTCCGCCTCCTTCTCGCCGAACTCTCACTGCATTATAATTGGGTCTCTTCGAGCTTCTTTTTCTATTAATTTGAAGAATAATTTTCTTGGAAGCCGATGACATAAGATTATTTTCGTTTCGTGTTTATGGTGCGATTGTTTGACGCACAAATTACGAAGGGGAAAACTTGTGAATGATTGACGAAATTACAAATTAATAGATTATGTGATGCACACATCTCTTCAAATGCATTGTGCGCCTGTCTGCGACTCTTTATGTGGCGGTCAGCATTTAACATGTGTGACGGCAAGGACTGGGTTTTTGTGTGATCAACATGGAAGCTTTGATACTTACCTGAGTTAAAATGACTGTGAAGCATTATTTTGTTATGTTGCTGCTGCTTGGAATGTTTTGCCACTAATAGCATGTTTTGTTTATTTATTGTCTAGTAGAAAAGCCAAATCAGATGAAGTTTATATAACTATTACAATGGAAATTGATTTTGCTTTTTGTTTATGTGCAAAAGAAAATATGATAATCTTTTTTCTTTTTTTTAACTGTGTGCCTTTAGTAGAATTCACTTTTTGCTGTAGTTAGATTAATGCAAGTTGTTTTTTTTTGTTGACTTGCCAAATTAAAGAATGAGTTTTGTTGTGTCAAAGTTGAGAAATAAATCAATATCACCATGCATGCAGTACACATATTGTTTAATCTTACAGAGATTATTCTCTTCGTTTAGAGTTGTCACTCTTGTGCAGGAGACTTGAGTAATATCGCTCACCTCCTAGGTGATTATCATTGAACTTTTGAGATTGTTGGCCTTATTGTGGAAGTTAAATGGTTCGTGAAGAAAGAGATGATAAAGGGTAACCATAGAGGAAGTAACTAATTTATCCCTGCGTACTGGTTCATCATCATATGCTGGATGGAAGATTTTAATTTTGCTGTTGGGCGGCAATTCCCTGATGTCAAAACTTTTAGGAAGGCGATAAAAGAAGCTGCTATTGCACAACATTTTGAACTTAAGATTATAAAGAGTGATCTGATTCGCTACTTTGCCAAGTGTGCCAAGGAAGGTTGTCCATGGCGAATTCGTGCTGTAAAGCTGCCAAATGTACCAACTTTCACCATAAGAAGCATTGAAGGGACACATACTTGTGGCAAAGATGCACAGCTAAGTCGTAATCAGGCATCTGTTGACTGGATTGTCAATCTCATAGAGGAGCGGCTACGAAGCAATGTTAATTACAGGCCAAAGGACATACTTCAAGACATTCAGAAACAGTATGGGATTAGTATTCCATACAAGCAAGCTTGGAGAGCGAAAGAAAGAGGTCTGACTGCCATATATGGATCCTCTGAAGAGGGTTACAGTCTTCTTCCAGCATACTGTGAGCAGATAAAGCTAAGAAACCCTGGAAGTGTTGCTCAAGTATTTACTACAGGTTCGGACCATCGTTTCCAGAAAATTTTTGTTTCGTTTAATGCATCAATTCATGGCTTTTTGAATGGTTGTTTGCCCATCATTAGCCTTGGTGGAATTGAACTCAGAAGTAAGTATCTTGGCACGCTGCTTTCTGTGACATCATTTGATGCTAATGGTGGAATGTTTCCAGTTGCTTTTGGTATTGTTGATATGGAGACAGATGAGAGTTGGATGTGGTTCTTGTCAGAGTTCCATAAACTACTAGATACGAGCACTGAAACCAGACCTCAGCTTATTGTACTATCCAATGGACAGACAGTTGTTACTGAAGCTGTGAGAAGAAAATTTGCTACTGCATGCCAGGGAATATGCATGCGACACTTAACAGAAAGCATGAACAAAGAATTCAAGAACTCAAGGCTTGTTCATCTTCTTTGGAAGGCAGCTTATTCTGTCACCACCAGTGGCTTTAGGGACAGGATGGCAGAAATTGAAGAAGTCTGTGCAGGAGCAGCCAAAAGGATTCAGCAAATTCCAGCTAACCATTGGGCAGTGGTTTATCTTGAAGGTCCACGCTATGGACATCTTTCTTCAAACATTGAGGAGTTCAATAGATGGATACTTGAAGCTCGTGAACTACCTGTTATTCAAGTTATCGAAAGCATCCATGGCAAATTGATGAAGGAATTTAGCGAACGCCATGAAAAGGGTTTAAAATGGACGTCTAGACTTGCCCCTGCAGCTGAAAGACACATTTCGGAAGCCATTGAGTGGGCTGTTGGATACCAAGTGCTTCGTTCTGATGAAGTAGAATTTGAGGTTCTGTCAGCTGATTGTTCCAGTATTGTAAATATTGGCATGCGCTCTTGTTCTTGTCGTGAGTGGCAGTTGCATGGCATACCCTGTTCTCACGCTGTTGCAGCCCTCCTGTCATGTAAGAAAGACATCTATGAATATACAGAGAAGTACTTCACTGTCACGAAGTATCGGGAGACATATTCTAAGCCAGTGTATCCAATTCCAGACAGAAGCGAGTGGAATAAAGCCACCGAGGGTCAGGCACACAATGAAAATCAAGTGGTTCGTCCACCGAAGTTTCGTCGTCCTCCAGGACGCCCTGAAAAGAAACGGCTTTGCATGGAGGTGAGCAATCGTGAAAAACATACCGTGCATTGTAGTCGGTGTAGCCAAACAGGACACTACAAAAGAACATGCAAAGCAGATGTCATCCAGAAGACATAACCTGTTGGTATCTTGATGGCCAACTGTATATCCCATTAGTTTTGTTGGAGGCATATGTAACATATCAGGTAAATCTTTAATTTGCCATACATTTTTATCTTGTTTGGAGTTAAAATTGCTTTTGAATGCCTTGCAATGTTTCTTGGTTTGTTTGTTCTGCATAGTTGCCTGTAGTAGTTTTCTCACTAGGAATCAATTGATTAGACAAACTAATTTTATAGGCTAATTTCGATGATGTATCATCAGTGTCATATGTATCTGCAAACAGTTTTCGGTGGACTAAACCCTCATCAAAACAAGATCAAGTGTGCTAAAAACTATGTGAATGCTGAACTTATGGTTGTCATCACTGACTAGGTGGATTTTTCCAGAGTAATAGCATTGCAATGATCGAGTTAAATTTCTTTCAAGGCTTATGATGTCAAATTTGGTCTTCCTTCGGATTCGGACGAACAAAACAGGTGTGAATTTTTTCATGGTACTCGTGTACATCATGAAAATTTAAATATTTAATATATCCTTGTTAGTTATTCTATATTCTGTCTCATTTTTGTCTTCCTTTATAACATTAGGTTTTTCTTTTTTTTCTCTTATTTTTCCGTGCATCTTTATCTTAAAAAGCAATAAGCATGAAAAGGATTTTTATTTTTTTATAGTTGAGTTAAACAATTTTTGTAATAGAGTATCTATAGAGACTTGTCACGGTAAGAGTTGGGAGAAGAAAAACATTTCTAATAATTATATTAGTATTAAAAGAGTTTACATCACAGTGTTGTGACCAATAATAGAATTATGAGAGTTGTTATAATTATATAGTTATAATAAGAATCGATTTTGATTTTTTTGATTAGTGATCGGATATGTGATGTACTTATTGGATGTGATTTATTGGAAAAAAAATAGTATCATATTTAGTGAGAGTTAGGATGAATTATTTAAAATTGAGCTATGGAGAGAAAGTGTTAACTAATATAGATAGTAAAATTAAGATTGAATATATGAAATGTCATTTTAGTAATACAAAATTTGAGCATATAATAAGGATAAATAGATTATAAAAGCATTTTACGTACCATGGAATAGTAGAATGATGATTCGTTATGAATCTCAATGTGAGCGGCTAAAAAATAATATTGTGTAGTTGAAATGGCAGAGATAAATTTGTGGATTTACCAGAAAAATATGTGAACAGTTACATGCAATCCGATGAAACAAAGAAGATTCATTTAGGATGGTTTGTTAATATGATAATTAGATGTTAAAGGTCACATAAGCGATCCCACGTAATTGTTATAGCAAAAAATACTAAAGACAAATGATGTAGTAAATTTAATTTCTATTATACATACTGACATACTTTATGGTGTTGCTGTGGGAGGCAACACCGTATCAGATACTATTACAAATGCTTACATCCCGGCTCGATCGGTCTTCAGGGAAGTCTATGAATCTCAAGCTCAGAGATATGATCCGTAGGACGAACTACGGGTTTAGGTGGAGCTTCTGCTGCGTTGCTCAGAACTTAAAGTTCTTGCCTTCGTAGGTTTGCCCGAACTGCCAGTTGCGGGGGGTGATGTGCCAAGAGGTGGAGCGGCGGCCGTCGCTGGCGGTGACCCGGAACGACAACGACTGCCCCGTTAAGTCTACGTTGGTCTGCCAGCGCTGCCCCCAGTTCCTGGACATGGCAGTCCACCCCACCTTGTTCCCCTTGATCTGCATGTTGTGGACGTCCCCGGCGCCGGCCACGTTCCACACCAGGACGAGGAGGAAGTAGGGGTTCCCTGAGGTGGTGAACCTGATGCCTCCCCGCTTCTTGCACGGGACCCTGCATGCAGCATTGTGATTCATGTCCTGGTGTTAGGATTCTGACGAGATGTTGGGGTTCGAGAAGACGAGTACCTGCGGTAGGCCACCGGCACGATTCCGGCCTTGTACTGGGCGATCTGGAGGTAGGCTGGCTGCGTGAGATCGAAGTGCACACGGGGAGGGTTGCACCAGCCTCCGTTGTCGCTGGACTGGTAGTAGTTGGGTGGGCAAAGGTTGGTGCCGGTGACGAAGATGGAAGGGTGGCCCGGCTTGCACCACTCCTTGTCATTTACGCACTTGATCTCGAAGCAGGCGCCGCATGTGAGGCCGTCGTTGAACAGAGCCGTGCTCATGGCGGCCGTCTGCAGCCCGTACCCTTCGGTCACCGTGTCCTCGTAGCCGCATGCGCCCTCTGCAAGGGTAGAGTTTCCGGCGCGTGACGTACGTGAAGGCAAACACAGGCAACATGTAGAAGGCATGGGAGAGAAGGGCAGACCTCTTGTTTGGGAGCCATCACTGCCTCCGTAGAAGGTGGCGTGCGCGAATTCCCACTTGCCGGACTTGAAGGTCCCGTGGTGGCCCTTCAGATGATCGCCATGGACGTGGTTTTTGTATCTAATTTTCCCATGGTGGTCATCCTCAGCTTTGGCATCGGCGCCGGCGCCGGCGCGGGGGAACACAAGCAGCAGCAGCGCTGCAGCTACAAGGAGGGCGCGCAAGAGAGTAGACATGGCGCCACAAATCGTGAAGAAAGTTGTGGGACTTCTGTTGCCGTCGCAAACGCCATTTATATGGAGAGGTTGTCCACAGGGAAGACAGGAGAGGTGCACAGGTTCGACAGCGTCCATCTCTCCGAGCCGCTCATTCTCTCCCCACCAACACCACCGCCCGCACACCCAAACCCCACCCCCACACCCCACACACCCCTCTCTCTCTCTCTCTCTCTCTCTCTCT